CTTTCAGAGGTTGTACTGGGCTAGCCTGCAGTGACAGAAAAAATGCACAAAAGTGAAACAAAAAAGGTTTTAGATATGTTATTATTATTATTATTATTATAAATATAACACATTCATGTGTGGGCTTTGGCCTGGCGCTATGCTAACACTAGCACTGCCTTCAAAACAGAGGGAAAAACAAAAGTGGAATAAGTCTTCTTATGTAACTCTCAGCAATAAAGCAAATAACCCCATTTCCCAAAATGTATGAAAGTATGCTTTTAAAGTTGTTTGCACACATCACTGATCTTGGGCAGCTAACATTCAGCAACTTAAATTCAATTTGACACTATGCCAAGGTGAAACAATATAGAGTACTGCCACTCAAACGCCTCAAGTGCTTACAGCTATGGAACCCTGCCCTGTGATTATGTGTGCAACACTCTCTGTATCACCTCATGTCTAAGAAAAGAGAAAATAGGTATTAAGTGGCAGATAGCTCCTCTTTATAAACCTCTTTGGCTGAAAAGGTTGCTTTTAGCATCAAACTATGGCAGTGTATAAATGAGCATCCTCTTTCTTCTATACCCTGACCCATTTCTCTCCTCTCCTTTGAGAAGAGAAGCTTTCATCCACCTCTAAAAATGCATAACTCTTCACATTTTAAGGCAATTTCAATGAGAAAAAAACCCCCACACAGGCTGAGGAGGAGTAACAAACAGTGAATGCTGCGTTGGATGTGGTACCTTGCTGGTGTTGTGTCCACGAGCCCGGCGAGGAGGCTTCCAGGACCTCTCCTTGGTGACGGTGTTGATGTAGTAGTATCTACCTGTAGCTGGGTCTGAGTACTGCTCCCACAGGTTCACGATCTGAAGAGGCTGTTGACCTGGGGCAGGGCTGGGTGGCTCTGGCTGTGATGGATGTTTCTCTGGCTGCATTTCAGTGTAAAGAGGGGAGTTTTGCCATGACAGCTCTGACAGACAGGACTCTGTTGGGACCTTGTAGGCAGAGGAAATTTAAATGGAGAAGGGGACAGGGAGCAAAGTGGAGAGAGAGAGAGAGAGCCATACAGTAAGTAGAGGTGGACATGGAGGAAAAGAAGTGACACATCTGCAATAACTGATTATTTTGGCCACATCCTCAGGTTTTAAGATGCTATAATAACCTTATTAGCAAAAGAGTTGGTTATTTACATATCAACAATATCATTCATTTGGAGCCATGTTTCTGGTCATACTGCTCACCCATGACTGTCATGGATGAGCAGTACCTGTATGTGTTAAAGGGATATGATTGCAGTTTACTCCAGGAGGCAGCATTGAGTCGTCAGCTCACCTGATGCTTCCTGTCCCGCTGCTTCCTTCTGTTCATCTTGGTGGTTAATTCAAAACCAAGTGCTTCTCAACAGGATCAAATAGGTCCATGGATCATTAAAAATAATCTATGCAAGCCCTTTTCAACAAAGGTCTAGCAATAAAGCTGTCCAGTGAATTGACTATAGAGTTAATTTGATTCCAGATCTCCTATCTCAAATTTTGTTATGAAAATATCATCACTGATGGTATTATTCATATTAGTTTGTTGTTTCCAGAACAATTAACACAACCATTTTGTCCTCTATGCGTCTGCGTTTCCACAAACATGAGTTTACAGTGTTGATGAGCATTTCACAACAGTGTCAGCAGTCTTCTCCTCTTTATCAGGGGTTTGATCAAGCGCTTTCAGAATTGTTTGCTTGCTCACTGTGATATTACCACACAATGAAGAGCAGCTTTATCTATACAGCAGTTATGAGAACTGGCCAGTGTTGTATCAGTCAAGGTGAGATGTTCTGCAATACTGTGTTTAGCCCACACGTGTAAAATGGTGGTTTTAGTGTTTGGTGCTTACGACTGGATAAAGGTGGATATGTGAGAGAGAGGACTGGTCCAAGTGAGAATGTGTGACTGTAGTTAAAAGAGAGAACTTTATATGTTTTAAAGGTTTTGTATCCTCTGTTGTAGGTGTGTGTGTGTGTGTGTGTATGTGTTTGAATTGTTTGCTCAGTTCTTTTATTACTTGTTCAGTGTGACAATCATTTTTTTAAAGTTTGAGTTTGAAGATGTCATGAGTCGCCATTTGATGTCACCTTGTACAAATCAGATGGTAAGCAGTAAAGACGGAAATCGAGGGCGTCTAGGTGGTTTAGCTTTCTTATACACATATCCACAGTATTACCAGTTTGATTCAGTCTAAGCATTTTTGTTGCATTTTATCACTCTCATGCCTCTCTGTCATACACTATATTGCCAAAGGTATGTGGACATTTTTATCCATTGCCGGGCCCCTAAGTTCTAATTAGGAGAAATCTTTATGTAAGATCCAGGCTGACCTCTATGATCATGTGGCTGAACAGGAGAAAATCCTGCAGCCATGTTCCAACATCTTGTGGAAAGCCTTGTCAAAAGAATGGAAGCTACTGTAGCAGCATATTAATGTTAATGGTTCTGATATGAGATTCTCACAATCACTCATCAGCATATGACTAGGTGTCCACATAGTTTTGACCATGCAGTGCAACAGTAAAAACAAAAAATATAAAAACAACAGTTTAAGCAACACTAAACAGGAACATTTATAAAGATATAAAATTATTTTTAACATTGAAAATGAATCTCTTGTTTACTAATGTCTGTATAAGATTACATTTAAATAAAATTCACAATTTGCATGGCAGCGCTTGAGAAAAATGTACAAAATGTATGGTGAAAGAGAGAGTTTGTTTTCTGGATGAAAAAAGTGGAGTTGTGACCTGAATGTGGCTGCAATAATCCTGCATACTGGCATTAAAGGCTTTAATGAAGAAGGTCCTTGGAGAGGGAGAGAGAGGAGCAGATGCAGAAACTAAAACAGAAAGAGAGGGAGGAAGAGAGTCTGAGATAGAAAAAGAAAACTGTCTTTTCCGCAGAGACCACAGTAACTATACAAAGTTGGGAGTCACTTGTTCATGCATGGCTCAGTGGAAACAAACCTCCTTTTAGAGAGACAGTCTAGATGCAGGGCTGTGGGAGTTTCCCCTCTGCTGATAGAGGGATAACATTTCCTCTCATCAACGACGCTTTGTATAATCCCTCTGATGTAATTCAGTGAACTCGCGTCATGATGTGAACTTGATTGCTGCTCTAGGAGGATTATTAGTTTCAATTACAGATGTACAACTGAGCACAACCTCTGCTTCTATGGATGAACTACATCATCTGGTGAGATCCAAAGAGAAAAACCCCAGGGCTTTTTTTAAAATACGTTTTGCATATTATTTATTTACCCCCCAAAAATATTTGTTTCTACCTAAACACTTTGTCCTATTTTATAGAATCTTAAAAATATTAGAAAATCAGACGCACAACAATGCAGAACCTACTATTTCCCATTTTTCCATTTCTCAAAGTCCCCCTAACATCATCTAAAGTCTGAGCTAAATGTGAGAAATCATGATTTGGAGGTCACAACTTCTTTGAAGCCAGTTCTGGTCTAGTAGATGTGTGTGAAACGTGAAGCGCGTATTCCACAGTGGTGTAGGATGCATCTTGTATATCCAATAGTGAAACCTTTGAAATTTGAAAAAGCAACTGAAAGTACCCTTTTGCCCATCTGGCAGTACTTTGGGTTAAAACAAAACAAAATGTTAAAGAAAGGATTTGTATACATAACATAAAAGATGTCAGACAAAGAATCTTCATGGCCATTTGCATGTACACCATCCCGCACAATGTGCTACCTTTCTATCAGTGATGTGAGATCAACTGATAGTTCTACCTGTGAACATATCTCACTCTGTTAGAGTTGTTGGAGCTATAGAGAAACAATCAGTTCACTAATTATTCAGTGGTGTTACAAAGTGATGGCTCTTTACCACATAAACGATTATTAGCTAACAGCAAACATCATGTTGTCTATTTCTCCACTGGGTGCAGCAAGGTCACAAACCCAACAACGGAAAGCTTCAGCAAGGTGGGCGATGGCATTGTCCCATTGCCCATCCCTAGGCCATTGTGAAAACAGATGTTGAAAACAGACCACCAGCATAAACCGAATGGGCCTACTAGGCACAGACACAGGCCCAGGGGCTTGAAGTCATGGGGCTACTAAATTATTATCAAATTATAATTTGACCAAGAAGTGCAAGCCTCTTAAAGCTTTGTAAAAAACAGTAAATACAAAACATAGGCCTCAGGAAATCACTGTGGACAAACACAGGAGAATAACACCCAAGTTAACAAACAGAATTTCCCAGAACTTCAGCTGCACTGTGGTTCTGATATTTGATTAACA